TTTGGTAATAGGAATATATCTGAGCAATTTGCTTGAATGAATATGCAGGGCAACCCGAAGTCGGCTCGCTGAAAGTGAATTGTATTGCTCTTCTTTTTGTCTTGTTATTGTTGTTGTGCATTTAATTTATGTGCTTGACGTGACACTTGCTATCGCTGTGTCTTCAGGCTGGCCGTGGCTGCTGCCCGCTGCCTGCTGCCGCAGCCGCAGCCGCTGCCTGTTAGCCTGCAAAAATTCGTCAGCACATGACCATGGATGATGGCTCAGGGTGTGGAGTAGGGGGTGCGGGGTGCGGTGCTGTAGACTTGCTGGGGTATGGGAATGAGTTTGGCTGCGGGGAGAGGCTGCAGATCTGGTCATGGGCTGCCTAATATGCGACAGCCGCCGCCTGTTAACACATCGGTGAACCTCAAAATATGAAAGCCGAAACCGAAACGAGCGCGCTTGGACCAAGGGGACCCCACACCGGCCGGCCAACAGCATCGACGGCGACGTTGACGTTGGCGTCGGCGTCAGCGTGAGCCTCAGCGTCGGGCTCCTAACGAGGTGTCCAGGCGGACGACATTCGAGCCTGTGTGGTGATGACGGTGCGAGTGAGACAAGCCGAGCCGATCCGAGATGAGCCGGCGATTGAATTTCACACGTGGCTTAGTGTCCGCCCGCATTAAGTACGCTTCATTGGCTGAGCGCACTCGCACAGAGAGTGTGGGGGTGAGAGAGATAGAGAGAGAGCGAGAGCGAGAGCGAGAGAGAGGCAGAGGCAGAGGGAGAGAGAAAGTGCAGCTGAGTGAAATAGCGACAGATTTTTTTGTACATATTTTATGTGGTTTACTTTTTTTCTTAGTTTGTATTTCATTTTCATTTTTTCTGTCTCCCTCTTTGCTTAGTTTTGGCGAGTGGGCGAGCTTGAATGCAAATGCCCTGCACATCGCCATCTTGACTGGCGATGGCTGCTGATCTCGCCATCTTGGACTGTCAATTGCGACTCTGGTCTCTGGGTCTCTGGCCGCCGTCTCAGGGCTCCGGCTGTGGCTCCACTTGCATTTGCTCATGGCCATTGTTCTGAGGTGCTGCTAGCAGTGATGACATTCCACAGATTAGGCAGCGGCGAGTGTGAGGGAGAGAGAGAGAGAGAGAGAGAGAGAGAGTGGGAGAGAAAGAGAGGGAGAGCGGGCGAGAGGTAGTCAGAGTGAGAGAGGGATGGAATGAGAGCGAGTGGCGCGAGTGGGGCGACGAGGGGTGCCGGAGGTGCCCAGAGGTAGTCGCACTCGCATATGTTGCCAATGGATATGGATGGATCCAGCCAGCCGTTGGCTTGGCTGCGTTGCTGACGGTGCCATATCCTGCCAAGCTTCACGGCTGCGTATGAATGAGTTATTTCGGACTTAATCGCAGCGCTTGCATCTCGTCGCCATGCAGCAGAGAGGAGGCAAAACAAAAATACTTTTGGCCCGACTCCAGCCAAGTCCACGTTTTGTTTCAGGCCCGGCTTTGGTGTCCTCCATTTGATTGAACTGCTCAATGAAATATGCAAATCTGTTTGCTGGGCCGCCGCCGAAGCGGTCGCTTAATCAACTGCAAGCTTGCCAGCGAGTCAGACAGAGAGACGAGCGGACAGATAGACGGACGGACAGACAGCCAGCAAGACTGTCCCAGCGAACGTTTTGTGCCTCATCATCATCATCATCGTCACCAGCGTTGCGGAGAGTCGCCATCGTTGGGTTTGCATCTGAGTCCGCGCCTGCCTCTGCCTCTGCCTCCGTCTCTGCCTCTGCCTCTGGCTCTGCCTCTGTCTCAGCGCCTTCTCCTTCGCCTTCAGCGTCCGCACATTTGTGGTCTTTTGGGGCAATCTTAAATATCCTGCTGGTGGGTAAATTTTTCTCTTATGTGCTTTGCGCTTTTTGCCAGCTTTATCGGATCGGCGAGCCAAAGTCACGATTTCTACAGTAAGAAGCTGCAGTTGTTGCAGTTGTTGCTACGTTCAGTCTTCCCTTCTGCTCCTGCTCCCGCATTGCTGCTGCTGCTGCTGCTGCTGCTGCTGCCACTGTGGCCAGCTCGCATATTTCTAGCAATCAAATGTCAGCTTCTCAAACTCTAGCCAACACTCTAATTAATCCATGCCACCGTCGGAGGTGTGCTAATTACATTTAATTGCAGTTGTTAACAAGCCACTTGTCAAAGTGTAATACCCGAAATCGAAATCGAAATAGAAATCGAAATCGAGAGCCGAAGCCGAAGCCGAAGCCGTAGACGTTGCCAAAAACCTGACAGCAATTGCAACTCAATCAGCGCTGAATATTTCGCAAATGCCACAAATGGCCACCAACGTCCATCAAAAGCAGTCTCAACTGTACCAAGATCAAAATTGTCCGGCTCTGAGGCCAGCTCAATTAGCAGCCGTCCAATTGTTAACGATAGCAGCTCATGCTTGATATTTGGCCAGACTCAAATGCCTTGCGAATGTTTTAACTGAATCTGTTTACATCACGAGACAACTAAATTATAATCATTATGCATATGTATATATGTATGTATATAGATAGATATATCTTTATTTGCCATCATGTATTTCGGTTCTGAACATACTGATTAGCTATATGAACTGTTCTAGCTATTAGCCTTGGAAATATTTCAACTAAGTCAACTTAATTGTAATCCCCAAACATATGTCTATATAGATATACATATATCTCTATTTACCATCACTCCATTTGGACAACACTGTATATATGTCTGATTCTGAAAATTTAAGTTATATGAACTGTTCTTTTCCTATATTATTTTCCCATATCTACATCAAAACGTAATATCCCAGCAGGAAGTGCCCGACTAGAAATTACCTCGCAGCCAGACAATAAATGTAGTTTCTTTTCATCTGTGCTTACTCAAAAAGATTATATGTAACGAAATTGGCAAGTCTAGTTCGAAAAATATTCATACAGCTTATTGATTTATAATGGAATGGAAAATGTATTCATGATTTAAAATACAGTGGTTGAGAGTATGATACAGAAGGGATGGGAAAAAAGGGGGATTACGATTATTAGCTCTAGTAATTGCAATTAAACATGTACGAAAAGATAGGCGAAAAGACAGATCGAAACGAATTGGGAAAAGATAGACATTCATAGAGACAAATACCGACGGATAGAGATATATAGAGATAGAGAGAGCTAATAGAAACTGATAGAGACGGATAAAGAGGACGACAGATGGGTAGAAGAGGATAGACAGATGATTTGGATGACGATTATGATGATATATGTATATTATGATAATATATATTCTCTTTGAGATCTTCATTGCCTTTTATCTGCCTATTGCTAAAATATCAACACTCAAATGGAATATTATATCAGGCCGAATTTTTTCAAAGGATTTCCTATAAATCTATGGAGATCACTTAAAACATTTTAAAACTATCTGAAATAAAATATTATATGCAATAGTGT